CCCGTCTTCGTATGCGCTCGGCTTGGACCAATTGTGCTTCGAGCAAACGGCTATTGGTGATGTGTAGTCCTGCACATTCCAACACAGTTGGCAGATTCTTCGAGAAAGGAGCTAGGGGCCCTGGATTGCAAGAATTGATGGGACGGAAACCTTTGCACGGACAAGCACCTGCACACAAGCAAATGCACGTATTGCATAGAAATTCTTGTCGTGTCAAGCCCATCTTCAACCACTCACTGACTATGAGGTCTCTTGATTGCATGGAGTTAGAAAAGCAATGCAAAATAGAAGTTAGTGTTGAAGCATAAACCAAATTTATCTTTCAACCGTACGAGTACTACGGCACGCTCTCCGCCGCCCAAAATTGGAACATGTATAGCGTGCTTGAAAAGGGATCTCCACAATCTGAAGTCACGGCTTGCAATCCCTCGAGTGAGACGATTGGACAGTTTCAAACAATTTCGGACGCCTTTTTCTCACCTCACTTGAGCGCAGCTTTGAAACAATTTCTGGTAACAGAAAAGCGAAAAGCGGCATCTCCATGTGTCAGCGTCCATTTCCGCTTGGAGCCTACAGTCTGAACGCAAAGTTCTGTTTGACTTGGATGTGCTCAGTCCGGTGCCAAATGCGTAGGCGGTGGCATTTCCTCCTTAGCACTTGACTCGTGAAGTACCCTTTTTTACATCATAAATTCCCTGGAGGATGTTTTACCACTCTTTCAGCAAGTGCGTAAACGCGTGTAAACGCAAATCTTCTCAAATTACTATTTTCTTCACATGTTGGACTCATCTTTCATCTTGTTTCATCTGGTTTCTGTGCTTCGTTAAGCAAAGCGAAGCAAAAAGTGAAGCAATTGGGGCAACTGAGCATTGTGCAGCTCGCGGTGGCAATGCTCTTTCCAAGGCTTGGAGCGCATCCACCTCTGGTGCTTTCGAAAAAATGAAGCGAAACAAACCTAATGGCGATGGCCTCCACCCTAGTAGCAATGGCCTCCACCCTAGTGGCGATGGCCTCCACCCTAGTAGCGATGGCTTGCACCCTAGTAGCGAGGCCTCGACCCTAGAAGCGATGGCCTCCACCCTAGTAGTATTGATGGCCTCCAACCTAATAGCAATGGCCTCCAGCCTACAGTAATTGCGATGGCCTCCAACCTAGAAGGAATGACCTCCAACCTAACAGCGATGGCCTCCAACCTAATAGCGATGGCCTCCAACCGTTCCTTTTGCACGTTTCACCTAAAAATGAAAACCGAGAAAGGCCAAGGGCCGCCTTAGTCCAAAACAACTGAACACAATGATTTATGATTAAGAAGGGGTTGTTAAACACAACAGTGCACGAAAAATGTAGCAAATTGTAGTAGACATGTCTGTTCGAAGGTTGGCTGCCTTTCGATTGTTAGAGCATCTTTCTAAGTTGACCTTTAAAGCAACATGACAGAATGGATCCCCCGATCGCTGTTTGACAAGTGACCTAAGACAGTAACAACTAATTGCATCAAAAGAGTAGCCTTTCAGCAAATTCCGACCGCAAAGTAGACAAGACAAGACCCAACAATTGCAATCTTAGGATATCTTAGGCATCGTTTTTGAACAAACGATGTTCTCACTTGTCAGTTTGAACACACTTTTTTGCGGCTCTGGCTGTGCGCTGCAAGAGCTGGGTGGTGGCCACGGGACTTGGCAGCACAAGGAGGATCTTTGGAATAAAAGTCGACATGAAAACTCCAACGCAGATCATCTGTTCTCATCTGTTCTCTCTTTTTGTCCTGTTCCTTCTTCCTTTTTCTATCTTTAAACATCTCTTTCTTCCTTCAGCGAGGCATATTTTGCAGAAGTATCAACAAATCATCCTTTGTGCAATATGATCTCAGGTTCTTGCTCCAACTCGGCCTAAGAAAAGGAAAAGAAATGATAACAAAAAGGAAAGAAAAAAGGAGAACAGAAAAACAAACAAACAAAGAAAAAGGGAGAACAAAGAGTCCAACGGAGACTTTGGCACAAACTCTGCCGAGCGTCTGGAGCAGCCGGAGGCGTCGCTGGAGGGGGTGCAGCCTAGCGCTGCTGTCAGTGTCTGAAATTTGCAGCATAGTGAAGCAATAGTAAGAATTCTTTTTATACAGTTATATACTTCATACTTAAGGTCAGGGTACTTCTTGTGCGCTTTTCAACAGCCAAGCTTCGCAGAAAATGTGCTGGATGGCCCCTCGTGTAGTTTTTCAATGTTGTCTTGACAGGTGGTTTGACGAAAATGTTCTGGGAGGCAGGTTTACAGGTTTCGGAGGAGATGTGGATGATGTGCACAACACAGCGCACGACATGCTTCAATACAAGAACCTCACTCATGAACAAGATACAGCCGTCCATGTGACACACCGGTACGCTGTGGTATGTTCCAAAGCTCTCTTTGAAGCTCTGCGCTCTGCACCTTCCACCGGATTTTGTGCAAACGTCACCACCACAACACACACACAACGCTACATCCTCGTATTTCTTCGAACTACACGAAAGCTGGCTATGTGGTTGATGTGTACGTCAGCGTGTCTGGATTGATTGTTTCAAAAAACATCCGTGCGTAAGAGCATCGCTACTAGGAACAAGAAGCTACTAGGGGCTCCTGGCCTTACTACTAGCAGCAAGCACGCTACTAGAACCTCCTGGCCTTACTACTAGCAGCAAGCACGCTACTAGAACCTCCTGGCCTTACTACTAGGAACAAGGACGCTACTAGGAGCAAAGATGATGCGGCATGCGGCGGATGCGAAGGGCTTCTTGTGGCCTGTTGGGACGATTGTTCGAGCCTGCCGCGCGGCCACTTCGTTAGTCCAAAACTCCTGAGCAAAATCTGAAAATGGCCTCCAACCCAAAAGCAATGGCCTCCAACCTAGTAGCGATGAG